GAACAAAAAAAGAGGGTGGACGAGCAAACGAACAGTGACAAAGTGGCACCATAAAATAAAAGAAAGTTGAGTTTTGGAGGAGACATGCACCTCTTTTGCCAACCGTATCCATTCAAGAGTTCCTTCTTCTCCATCTGAAGCGCATTTCCTTTTGCAATCTCTATCAGAGGTTGGCTAATTAGTTTCTCACAATAGATGGCTCTAAAAGATTTGAGAGAAGGACAGAGTAGGGTTCCTCTGAATACGGACTTTAATTTTGGAAGCTGCTCCAAGACCACAAGTCTCAGTTTGGGGAGGGTGATGGTGGTAGGGGGAATAGTTTCACCGCTACAATCGTCTCCAACTATTTCTTCCATTGAATCACAACCGCTTACATGAATGGCCTCTAGGTTTTGGAGCTGTGTGCAAATAATCCACATCATCAGAATCCTCATGCTGCCACAATGATGCATTTTGAGCTTTCGGAGGTGAGAAAATGGAGCAAATGATGCCGCTATTTGTTTCAAGTCTTTCAAACATGTGAGCCTCAATGTTTGCATAAATTGGACACTGCACCAAAATGGGCAAGTGGGAGAGCCACAACACAAGTTCTCAAGCTTATCACATTCATGCATCCTCAAATATTCAATTTTGACTAGCTTAGGGAATGACAAAGTCTGACATAGACATGTTGTTCCTGTCCAATGGTGATGTGCATGTGTAATCATCAACTCCTTTATGTCTTCTGGAAGATATAACTCTGCTCGGTTTTCCAAATCAATACCACCAAAGACAACCCATTTTAAGGAATGGACCTCATGTTCAGGATAAAATAAAAGATAACCATCATATGATGTAGCTAAACTTAAATAATAACCTTTGAGGGCGCGATCTTTGACCTGTAAACTCTGAACATCGGAATTAAACTCTTCAATGTCATAAAAGTTGGCTGTCATATATTCTAACTTTCCCAAACATTGTAGAACATGTGCACTCCCATCCATTGATTTTGGGATACAGTTCAACCTAAGAGACTGCAGATCGGTCATATTGGTTATCACTGATGATGACATTTTCAACTGTACTGTACCTGCTAGATTAAGATATCTAAGATTGATCAACAATTCCAAGCCATAAGGTGATTCAATAATGGCAGTATTTGAAAGGTCCAACCACATTAGCCGTTGCAATTTTTCTAATGAAGGCATGTAACTCAATTTCTTACATCTCAAAAGTAATGTGATGAGGCATTTCAAGTTAGAGACAGATTCAGGCAAACGCTTAATGCTAGTCCTAGACAAATCGAGTACTTTAAGAGCAGGCATGTTGTTAAAAAAATTATCTGGGATCCATTCGAGATAATCATTATTATCTAAAAGCAATGTGGAAAGTTTAGAGCATTTAGGAGATGTGCCATCTACAATTTTTTGTATTCCAGTTCCTCTCAAAAAAACTTTTTGTAGATTTTCATGCCATTCGCTATTCTCCGGTATTTCTATGCAATTCATATCAGATTTTGCTATAATTTCCTCAGTCGCCTTTGCAATATTAATAGCCATGCCCCTTAGCAAAGGATGGATTCTCCATTGACCCCCCCCTTTAATAACCAAACTGTCATTCTTTAATTTATCCAATAGGGTGTAACCTTCATTATATTGCATCTCCAAGCTCTTTGTCTCATATCTGTGGATCCCTCAATGAAAAATCTTTTGATCAAACACCAAATATCTCTTCATTATAATATTCAGCACTTAATGCAGCATAAGAAAAAAAACTTTGCAACAATTTATTATTTAAGCAAGCATAACTAGATTTCAACACCGGGAATATCCACTTCTCCTATCAAGTTTGCCCATTGCGCAAGTTTTGAAGGCATTCCAACATATGATTCCATTCTCTATATTGTTTTTTTTCCCTTCATGCTTCTCGCTATCGTAACAATAGCAAGGGGCAAACCCCCACATTGTTCTACCAAGGTCCTTGCTATAGACTCCACTCCACTAGATTGCATTTGATGGATTCCAAGAGTCTTTTCAAACAATTCCCAATCTTCTCCAAATTCATCATCTAGAGGTTTTACTTCTATTATGTTCTCCATACAATTCATACTCTGGCACACCTCCCATGAACGAGTTGTCAAAATCAATTTAATCCTATCATTTGAAACAGGAAATCCAACTTCTTCTCCTAAAAGGATAGGATCCCGAGCCAGATATTCTTTTCACATCACACTCATCAGATATGTCCAAATTAATTGATCTTGCAATGGCCTTTTGTAACTCATAAATGCTACCATATTGTGATGCAGTAACCCAAATAACCTGGTCAAAGTCATCACCGGCTTCTTCTAAAAGCTTGTTATGCACATGAGTTGCTAGAAATGTTTTCCCTGCCCCTCCCATTCCCCATATCCCAATTGTTGACACCTCATCTCCCATTATCCATTTCCATATTCGTTGACTATACCATTTAAAACATCTTCCCACTAACTCGGTTGTCGGCAATACATAAACACATCCTAGCAGCAAAAATAGGAATAATCGATTAGCACGAAGTGACGATAGGAATTATTTCTTTTAAATACAGGAAGTGCTAAGGATAAAATATAAAAATATAGTACGATATGAGGATAATTATTACTTACTTTAAGAGAAGTTAGAAAAAATATATACAAATTAAACTGTTGTATAAATGACTACAAAAAAGGGTTCTATATAATTTAAGTTGAAGTTTCTGTTTAAAAAATAATAATTGAAGTTGAAGTATATACCTGTCTTCGAGCTAACATTTTTTTCTCTTGACTCTGTCATTGAAATCATCCAATTCCACATATGCCCCTTTTCCACCACCAAATATTGTTTTGCATGTATCAACCTGCTTTCTTTTAATTCCACATGAATCTATATCTTCTTCACTGTGGACTTGCGCATAGCTTCCTGTTGCTTTATGAGATAGTATTTCTCTTTCTTGGTTGAAGTCACTGTTGAGCAACTCTAAAGCCAAATCCAATCTTTCTTTATTACTGTCAAACTACACATTTTGTCCATATCATTTATATGACTGAAAGTGTTTGCACAATGTACATATGCGTGTGTATGTGTGAATGAATATGTATAGAGCGGTTAACAATAATAGTTTGCAAGTGACCATACCTGAAATGAAGGATTTTGCCTCACATAATTATCTAATTGTTGCATATATTTGATAACAAATACACCACAATCGTATCTACATGTTGAAGAAATATGACATGGTCAGGATGCATGCTTGTTTTAATAAAGCTTATAATTTAGAATAAAAAAATTCATAAACTCACCCATTAGACTGTGATTGGATATTGCTTGCCATTCTCCAGTGAAATTTTGTGGACATAACATCTTCGAAGAGTGTCTCCATGACAAGCAGCTACATGTACGAGATTAATTTTATATATAGAATTAAAATATCAATATCAATCTACTAATTATATGAATGTTACAATTATTTAATACTTACTATTTTTTTTGTTATTTGTTCACGTTCAGTTTTATCCATAAATTGATCGCGAAGAGAATCCCATATTTCAACAACTTGATCCTCCACATGAATAATGTATAAATAAAAATGTCCACATCGATTTTTTTCAACATGAACAGGAATAATATCTGCAATATGTGATCAAACAAATCAAATTGATATATATAGTCCAAAAGAGCAATTGTTAGGACAATTAATGAAACATCAACGACAACAAGACAAATAGATAATACCTTCTCACAATATTTCAAGTCAAACATGTAGTTTTCTCTCATGTTATGCCGTTCAACAAACTTAAGGAAGGAACTTACATCACTTTGGAGCGCTTTATTCTATAACAAAAGAACCATTAAAAATACTTGTCAATAAACTTTTTAGATTCAAGGACTAACATATATCATCAAATTAAAAAGGGAATCAGATATCACCGAAAATATCACTGGAACATAGCAATTCAAAGGTTTACTTCTGTTCCTTTCAATCTCCGTCAAGATATAGACAAAAATATCTATTACCTAGGAAAACAGAAAAATTGGGCTCTTTAACATAACCAAGACAATCCTCAATAATAACAAATTAGAATAAAAGTATAACTAAATACTCACCCATGAATCCAAATAGGTCTCCGGTCTAAGAGTGGTAAATTCAGATTGTTTCAAATGTAAACGTGGTGAAGAGAAAATTGTCTCATCACTGAATAAAATATAAGATAAGTGATTATATTTAAGCTAAAAAAAACAAATACACATAAATACTATTTAGTAACATAATTCGAAGAATGTATATAAATCTAACCTGCGTGATTGTTCAAAAACATATTGAATCAACCGCAAGTCGGCTTCATTCATCATATGAGAAACAGAGGAAGGGCCCACATGAATCCCCTCTTGATGTATAGCTTCAGTGTGTTTGGAGGACATATAACAATCAAGCAATAATGTTTCATTCCTCGCTCCTATAAATAATAAGAAAAGCTGATATCTTATTTAGAATTAATATACTAATCATCACAATCCGCAATATATACAAAAACATGGGTGATGTTTATCACTAATATTAATTTGTCCGTACGCGTCTCATATGCCTGGGTTCGTAGGCTTAGGTCTCTGGTGCTGGTGTCAAGTTAGTACCAGGGATATTGGTCTTAGGACCTGTTTAGTTATTGTTTTCATTTTTTTAAAAAAAATTGTTGTATAATATAATTTTTAAAAATTTTTTTCAAAACAAAATAAAATAAAAATTTGTTTGCTTATGTTAATGTAAAAATAGCTTTAGAATTAAAAAATAAATTAATAGTAATAGTTACAAGCAGTTAATGATAGTAATTTATGATAAAAATTGATCAACATTATAATTTTTAATAATCAAATGTAATATATTTAAAAAATAAGAAAATTAAAATGAAAACAACTTGAAGTTGCTTCTATTTTTGTTTTTTTTTTTAAAATGAAAACAGTTTTAGAAGCAATTAAATCGAAAACACTTAACCAAACAAGTTTTTAAATTTTTTTTATTTAAAAAAAATAGCTTTTAAAAAAAAACAAATAGGACCTTAGGACCTATTTGGTTTCTATTTTCATTTTTTTTATTTTTAAAACTATTTTGTAATGCAATTTTTAAAATTATTTTTGAAAACAAAATAAAATGAAAATATGTTTGGTCGTGTTAATTTTAAAACTATTTTAAAATTAAAAAATAAACTAATAATGATACTTATAGGTGATTAATATGGTGGTGATTCATGACAAAAATTGATTAAAATAATTAAAATTTTTAATAATTAAATGTAAAATATTTTTAAAACAAGAAAAATAAAACAAAAACAACTTTGAAGTTATTTCTTTTTTTTTTATTTACCAATAACTTGAAGTTTTTTTTATTTTTTTGTTTTTAAAAACAAAAAATAAAAATAGCTTTGAAAATAATTAAATTGAAAACACTTCATCCAACAAGTTTTTAAATTTCTATAGTTTCAAAAACAAAAAAACAAAAAGTTTTAAAAAACAGAAAACAATAACAAGCCCTTAGTTTGTGGTTTTCCTTTTTTTTTTTTCCCCTAAAAACAAAATTGGCATTTGAGAGTTGAGTATTTTCATCCTCTGTAAATGAAAACTTATCAATAAAATTTGTAGGTGTAATCCTTTTTTTTCTTAAAAGCAATGATATAATATACACACACATAACTGAGAATCATGTTGTGGCGATAATTTTGTTGATGAGTTGCAGGTATTAGATTTGATTTTACAGTTTGCATGTGAGTAGACCCGTGAACACAAGCCAGGCCTTCAAACTAATAACGCCAGTTTCAATCTCACATTTTTTTTTTCAGAGACAGACAATAAAAAATGAGGCTTTTTTTTTTGCCTAAAAGGAATTTTAAGCTTGACCTTAATAAACATGTTAAAAAATAAGGTTGGGCTAACTCGTTAGGCCCAGCTTTTTTATCCAATTAACAGGTAGTTGAAATTGTTAAGAATTGTTTAGTTGAAATTATGAATGTTGCAAAATAATATGATTAAAATTATTTGATTGATTTTAATTTTTGAATTAACACATAAAAAATGAGACAATTTATTAAATTGTTAGTATAGTTAAAATTTTAAATTTTAAAATTAGAAAAATGCATCCCAACCCTTGCAGCTCTGCATGAGGTCCGAGACAAAAAGCCCTTTTGCGGGTTAAAATAATAAAATGTGCTCAAGTAATTCATATATTCATAGAGAATGATAATCTTGCAAGAAAATTATTACACTTCGTTCCCTTCTTCAAAGCCCAAAAAAATTGTTAGAATAGTATATACTATTATTATAATAGCTGCCAAATAAATGGTTTAATAATACCCTAACAAAATACTGAAATATCGCTCTCCCATTTAAAGTAAAATATAAATAATATTATTTCGTACCTTGCGGATGAGGGAGGTCTTCCAGCGAAAAAGAATCGTCAATGACAAGGAAGTCCTCTTTCTCTTTGAGATAACTGGTGACTTTGTCGGAATTGGTATTGTTAAGCTGAGGAAAAGCAGTACACAGTCGAATTCCCTGACCCTTGATCTGATTAATATGGGCTTTGATGCGATTAGCACTCTTTGCAAACACAAATCCACAGTGTTTGCACCTTACTCTTTTCCCTTCCAACTCCATGACGTGTTCCCACATGTCAACTGCCTTTGGCCTTCCACCAGCTCCTGGTTTCCCCATGACTCTCGCATTCAATTTCTCCAAACAAAAGCAAAGAGAATCAAAAGAAGAAACCCATATCAGAGACAGGGAATCAGTATGAAAGTCTGAAACGAACAAGCAAGTAGAGAGAGAGAGAGTTGGTTTGCTTACTCAAGTTTTACTTGAGGTTCGGAAGATGAGAGGAGCGAGCAGATCGCGATGATGTGAAATATGATGCCTGAGAAGAAGGAGGAAGAAGAAGAAGAGGCAACAATAAGTCGATAATAGCAAAGTCGTCTCTGGATTTTGGTTTCAGATCACGCGTCTCTCTTTTCAAAAGAAAAAGGAAAAAATCAGATAACGCGTCTTCTAAATAATTAAATAATATTTTATTTAATTTTTTCAGTCAAGTTCAATTTTTATTTTAAAAAATTAAGATTTTTCGGTCATTATAATATTACAAGACACCTTTTTTTATTCTTATTAATCCTTACCAAGTGTTGAAAGAGTAAATAAAAGTATATAAAATAATATTTTAAGTTTATTTTTCTTAATATTTTTAGAAAGTATTCAAAACAAATGATTATTGAAACATTAAATTAAAATTTAATTTAAGAATGTAAAATGTGCAAATAAATCTGCATTTTTAGGATATTTTTAAATAAAATTACATATTAATTAAATTCATTAAATACATTTTACAATATTATTTTTTAAGATAAAAACATAAATTTTTGAAATACCTTTTCTTTAATATAAATCTACACTTAATTATTAGAAAGAGAGGCTAATATTAAAAAATATATTTAAAAAAATTTTCAAATTATTTTACATTTTGAGATACCAAAATAATTTTTAAAATTGTCTTATAAATTAAGACAAAAGTAGTAATTTATAACGCCGAATGAAAAGGGAAAAAAAGAAACAATTTATTCACGTTGCCTCATTCATCAAGTGAACAACCAGAAGAGTAGAGTTGCTTTTCAAGCTAATCAAAGAAAATGCATGCAAAGTGTACATATATGTTCAATATGTCTTACAAGGTTAGATTCTGATCTATTTAGATGAGAGATTTATCAATAAGAGAAGCAACTGCACAAGGGATTACACATATTTTTGTGACTAATTTGATTTATATTTTTGTGATTAATTTAATATTTTTAGGAAAAAAAATGTTAAACTTCAAATCTGATGCCTGAGAAGAAGGAAGGAGAGGATGGGGCCATAACAGTGGGAGTGTCCTCTCTGAATTTAGGCTCAAGTAAGGCGTCTTTTTTTTTTTTTTTTTTTAAGTCAGATAACGCGCCTTTGACACGGCAAAATTCCTTTTTTGGCCCCCCGAAATCAGATAGCGCGTCTTTCACACGGTAAAATTCTGAAGCTTTGAAGTCATTGGGGCCTTCTTTCTGCCTTATCGAGGAAGCCCGACTTCTAAGGGTTTAAGTCTTAAAATTTAATTATTTAAAATTTAATTTAATTTTAAAGTTCAGTCTTTATTTACAAGATTTAAGGTTGAGCCTTTAAGCTTTTTTAAAAAAAATTAATATTTTAATTAAATTGTTAGTATAATTAAAATTTTAAATTTTAAAATTAGAAAAATGCATCCCAACCCTTGCAGCTCTGCATATGAGGTCCGAGACAAAAAGCCCTTTTGCGGGTTAAAATAATAATACGTGCTCAAGCAATTAATACCCCTTTTGTTTAAAAATTTAAGAAATTTTTAACTGAATTTTTCCTTTAAATAAATTAATTATTTATTTTTAAATTAATTTTATATTTATATATTTATTCTTATTTAATAAAGTATTTTACTTTAAAATAAATATAAATTAATTTATTTAATAGAGATATTTTTAGGAAAAAAGATAATGATTACATAAGTTTTTTATATTTTTTAAGGTCAAACCCTTCAAAAAATGCGAAATATTTTTGAAGGGAATGAGTATATTCATAGAGAATGATAATCTTAGTATATTCATAGAGAATGATAATCTTGCAAGAAAATTATTACACTTCATTCCCTTCTTCAAAGCCCAAAAAAATTGTTATAAAAGTATACTATTGTTATAATAGCTGTCAAATAAATGGTTTAATAATACCCTAACAAGATACTGAAACATCACTCTCCCATTTATAGTAAAAAATAAATAATATTATTTCATACCTTGTGGATGAAGGAGGTCTTCTTGCGGAAAAAAGTCATCAATGACAAGAAGGAAGTCCTCTTTCTCGTTGAGATCACTGGTGACTTTGTTGGAATTGGTATTGTTAGGCTGAGGAGAACCAGGACACAGTCGAATTCCCTGACCCTTGATCTGATTAATATGGGCTTTGATGCGATTAGCACTTGCTGCAAATTCAAAGCCACAATGTTTACACCTTACTCTTTTCCCTTCCAACACCGTGACGTGTTCCCACATGTCAACTGCCTTTGGCCTTCCACCAGCTCCTGCTTTTTCCATGACTCTCGCATTCAATCTCTCCAAACAAAGCAAAGTGAAGCGATAAAGAAACCCATGTCAGAGACAGAGTCTGAAACGAACAAGCAAGTAGAGAGAGAGAGAGAGAGAGAGAGAGTTGGTTTGCTTACTCGAGTTTTACTTGAGGTTTGGAAGATGATAGGAGCGAGCAGATAGCGATGATGTGAAGTATGGTGCCTGAGAAGAAGGAAGAAGAAGAGGAGGCAACAATAAGTCACTAATAGCAAAGTCGTCTCTGGATTTAGGTTCACATCACGCGTCTTTTGTTTTTACCCCTGGAATAAAAGGCCCTGGAAAACTATACAAAAAAGTGGAATTAAAATATGTCAGAAATTATATAATTTTTGTACCCAAAAAATGATTTATTAAAAATTATAGTATCAAAATTCTTATTAGAAGTATGTCCTTGAATTAACTTGTGATGGGAATTGGGCAGGCTAATCTTAAGGGCTAAGGTTCTTGAACTTGATTTTTTTAAAAATAATTTATTTTTAAAACTCAACCCTTATTTAAAAGAATTAAGGCTAAGCTTGTAAACTTATTTTTAAAATTAAAAAATATAAATTTAATAAAATAAATAAATACAAATCTAGATATAGAATCTTGATTAAGTTTTAAAATGACAACAAAAACTTTCAATTTAAATCAATCTTATCAAATTCAATAAATACAAAAATTTGAGTATCATAGAATATAATATTAATCAAAATTAAGAAACAGACCCTACAAAGTAATTGTGTTTAAGAAATTAATAAAAATTTGTTAAAATTGTGTTAACATAAATGGCAAAAGAATCAATATCAATCATTTTAACAATGAGATACTAAGATCAGTATCAATCTTTTGGGAAATAGGATTTAAGGGACAGTCCAAGCTCAAGCTCAAGTCCAAATTTTTTTTTTTAAAGGGCCTATCAGGGCCAGATCTAAAATTCCAATTTTTTAAATCCAAATCTTTGTTTAAATAGGACATTTAAGTCCAACCCTTCAAACCCAACTCTTATTTTTCTACTTTAATTAGGATGCTTCTTTTTGCCTCCTTGAGGGAAGGTGATATAGACCATACAATCTTTACTGTCTTTCTTTCTTGGGATAAAATGTACGGTGCTTTTATTAGGGTAAATTTACGTGTCAATTTTTTCATATTATTTGTTTAGTTTTATTTATTAAATTTATGAATTTCTCAACAAAATTATATTACTTATTAATCATATAACTTTACTTATTAAATTCTTAACTCTCTCAATAGCATTGTATTACTTGTTCATTCATCAATAGAATTTGTTAATTATTTAACTATAATTGTTCATTCAATTTTTTATTTAAAAACTTGATTTACTTTAAAATAATTTGAGTTAGTGTTTTAACAAGTAAAGTTAGGATTTAATATGTTATATTCATATCATAAGAAAGTAATAGTTAGGGGATGGGCTCTTTATATATATATATATATATATATTATTGCTTGCATTATATTACTTAAGAGGCTCGATGATAAGTCTCTTTTTACCAAGTCAAGAGATTGTGAGATTAAATTTCCCTTCAACAATTGACTGCTGCCCACTAGTCACTGGAGCTCTAGTGAAGATGGCAGAGGTCTAGTGACCAAAGCCCTAACAATGATGGCTAAAATGTTTTCAAAAATAAATAAAAACTACTTCAATAATTGTCTGTCAAAATATAATTTCCATTTAATCATTTGGTCTCATAATAAAATATCAAAGTATTTTGGTTGTGATATGAAAATATGTTACGTTCATATTCTTTACTAAAATTCTCTCATATATATATATATATATATAGGTGGAGCTAGAAAATTTTATTAGAGGGCTAAAATAATAAAACATATATAATAATTAAAGAAAAATTATATATATATATATATATATATCTCATTAATATAATATAAATATTTCAATGTAGTTATTTATATTTAATTTTACATATATATAATAAAAATAAATATATTATTTATTTTTTAAGTTTTGCTCGTTGATTTTTAATTACATAAGAATAATTAATTATTGTGTTGATGATAAAGTTTTTAGCAATTTTTTTCTCAATATAAAATACTAATGCATCATTGAGATTTAAAGTTTTGTTCAATCTAAACAACTCTACTACTTGCTTGTTAAATTTACTATTTAATTTTTATAATTATATATTATATATATTAACACGGCAGTCATGTTCAATTGTCACAAATTCTTTATATCAATAAGATCTAAGTATACTATAGTAAAAACTATTCATATGATAAATTTTAGTAGTTTGAATTTTTTTCCAAAAGAATATATGTTAACAATAATCTTTTAACTTTTATATAAGTGATTTTATAGTAGATATCAATCATATAATATATAATATATCTTGAAATTTTTGTTGCACTGCTTGACAAAATTTATTAGTAATAATACTCATAATTTCTTTCATCAAATATAAAATAAAATTGAAATCAAATGACATCATCAATGCTTTAAAAACAAGTATAATATTATCCTATTAAAAATAAGTAAATATTAAAATAGTTAGACAATACATGCCTAAAAAATTATATATAAAGTTGAAATGAAAATTTTATTTAAAATCTTTAAATCTCAATAATGCGTTGACTAAAAAAAAGTTAAAATAATCCTTACATTTTATTAAAAAAATTAAAAAATTAGGGATTCAATGGCCCGTCGCCGCCCATTTATTTATAATTACCGAGCAGTGTCATTGTGTTTATAATTACCGAGCAACTTCTTTATGCACTCACTCATCAAACATGACATAGTACTGAATATTTGTTGTCGGCCACATCCAACATTCAACCTTTTGACAGTTGGATTCTCAAATCTCACCACGCTTGCCCACTGCGCCCACCTATGGTCTTGTCCTTTTTACAATGTCAAGTATGCGTCCATTATGCACTGTTCAAATAATCATCATTCGTTGTAACGACTAAGCTACTCTCTTGAACTAATTAAGACACTAGTTTAAAAATTAATAATTAAAAATATAATCAAGTTATAATTAAATTGATCATGAACAAAATATTTTATAAAATCAATCAAAATATTAATCTAATGATTCATTGGTTGAATATGTTAATTCAAATTTTCATGTTGTGTTATGAACTCATATGTTTTGTTACCAAAAGAATAATCACGATTTAACTCCTTTAGTGCTTTGACTTGTGATAGAGTCATTCACGATGAGAAAGGAAATTAGATTATGAAATTCTCAAGATATCTTAACTATCAACCTAATACTACAGCTGAATTATCAAGCATTTTAGAAGCTTTCCAGCTTGGTTGAAATGTTAAACTTAAAAAGATCAATTTATACATTGATTCCATAGAAGTTCTCTCACTTATTTAACATAATTTTTTTGATAGTCATCCTTTAACGACAAACATCAAGAAAATCAAGGAGCTTGCTATGAAAGATTGAACAATCACCTTTGATTACGTCTTTAAATAAACAAATGAATGCGTTAATTTGCTCACATGCAAAACTTTTCATGACAACTACGATCTCATTATTTATAATAAATCACCTATAGGATGTAAGACTATTTTAAATTTTGATATGACCTGACTTTTATAACCCTTACACAATTTTGATCGTATCTTTTTATTCAAAAAAAAAAAAGGACAATCACGATTCACGTGATCGTATCTTTTTATTCAAAAAAAAAAAAGGACAATCACGATTCACGCCTATGAAGTTTAATTTTATGGGTGATGTACAGCTGATAAGGGACCAAGATCTTTCATCTTCTCTCATCAATTTAATAATATCCACACAATATATTATACATTTTGATGATTGAATTTAGAGAAAAAATAGTGTTTTTGGTTTTTTTTCTTTTCTCTCTAAAGGTGAGCCAACCAAGCTTGCTCATTATTTTGAGCATTGTCTTCGTTAATAAGAGAAGGCTTTAATATTTTCTGTATCAAGTGTAATTTTCTTTTTACAAGAGATCATTATCATGGAAAGCTCTTATATTTTTTATCGCATTTTCTTAGTAAACACGTGCGTACAAACATTAATCCTACATAAAAATGTGACAAGATAGATAGATTCTAAAACTAATAACACTAATTCCAAAACAATTATATATATATATATATATATGAAAAATAACATTAAGGAAAATGACAAATAAGAACCTTGTAAGAATATTAATGTTAAATTAAAATTTTTCAACACTGATGTTCTCAAATTTCAATACTCCTTCTATCATGTTTAATACTAAGTTCTTAATTTGCCATTAATGTTCTTACAAGATTCTTATTTGTCATTCTCCCATATAAGGAGTTTCTAAATAAAATTTATGTAACATAGCATTTATTGTTATTTAAAGATGTCCTGAACAACTTATAATTTATAATGTCGAATGAAAAAGCCAAAGCAACGACAATTTATTCACGTTGCCTCATTCACCAAGTGAAAAACCAGAAGAGCAAAGCTGCTTTTCAAGCCAATCAAAGTGATGATCCCTGTGCCTTTGTCTATTGAAATCCATTGCACAGAACCACTACAAGGAAATGCATGCAAAGTTTGTACAAAACAGAAAAAGAAGGATCCAAAATAGAAGCAGAAATGAGAGAGATGGATGGACTTTGTTCCTAAATTTCAAAAAAATAAATATAAATTAAGGTGCAGCATATCCATGCCTTACAAAGTTAGATTCTGATCTTTTTAGATAGGAGATTTATCAATAAGAGCAGCAATTGCATTGCATCTATAAAATTTCCCTTGAGTGCCTTGTACATGTGAAAAGTGTCAGCAATGTCAAAGCACTAATGCACCGTTTGGTAAGGAATTAAAAAGTGTTTTTTAAAAAGAAAATAGGAACACTTGTTATATTTTTTTAGAAAATACTTTTCTGTATACCAAACATACACAACAAATCATTTATCATTCTCACTAACTAGACAGTTTGAAATATCCAGTAGACCAAAATTATCAGTTCCTCGTAGTTTACCCAAAAGAAAGGGGCAATAAGATGTGGAACATGAATGATTACATATAGCATGGAAATATTTAAGGGTTGTCTTTTTGGTTGTATATAATTCTGCCATTTCTGGTTATACTCGAAGCATTCTGCCTTTCATATATGTTTGGTAGTATTTCTTAGCATTTATGTCAAATTTCAATGCAAATAATTTCCGGAGGTCCAAATCAAGTTGATTCCAGAGTATTATAGCATGATTCAGCAGACATTGTAGCACTTTGCAAAACCACTAGTACAAGTTCCTCGACGTCAAAAACAGAGTCACACTACTTACAAAAGAATTATAATTATTATTGCAGATTTTCTTCTCCCTGCTGAATCTCTTTGCTAAAAGGAAAACCATAGTCAAATATTGAAGAAAGGGTTGATGGATGAATTTTCATCTGATGAAACTAAATCAGTCGAAAAAGTGAAGTGTTCATACCAATAATCTTACCAGCCAAAAGCTTATCCTTCTATTTTTCTACAAAAGACTTGACATTTCTCAAATACCTTAGAAGCTCGATTCTATGTTTGTTAGTCATATATTGATGCAAGAAAATGCATAATTCATTGTTTATCCCCCTTGTCTTCAAGTACTCCCGAAATTTCTCCTGAATTTCAGTATCGAGAGTCCTGAATCAGCAATTGAACCAGAACAGAATCACTAACAATTCCCATTAAGAAACTTCAAACCAGCTATAAAAAATTTCAGGTTCAAAGTAGCTTGTAACATGCCAAACCTGAAGTCAGGTCCCATGTAAGGCATAGCATGCATCCGATCACGCCTTAGGATGTAAACTCTTTGGATTTCTAAAGATTCTGGCCATGCTGAGCAGACAAATTCCAATTCACTGCCAAACTCCTCCTTTGAAATATCCACAAGTAGACTAAAGTGAAGATGGACATTCACCCCGGAACTGTCATCTCCAAGCTTGGGAACCTGTGCATACCCATCAAACATGGTAGCTTCAATTTTTATTTCTTCTTTGTCCCCAAAACTTCCCTTCATTGTAATCCACTGCTCACCTGGTCGATCTTGAACAGTGAATGAGTTGAATTTTGTCATAGGCTGCATTGTTTAGGAAAAAAGGCATTTTTTTAATGAAACAAGCTTTATTACAATGTGGATACTTTCCAAGTTGTTTAACAATAATGGAAAGCTATAAAATACAAGGAGAAAGATGAGAACAGTATTGAATATAATGAAATATCATATATCATACTTATTGATCTGAAAATCCGTTTTCATTTTCTTTTCCAACATTACATAGTCTCTCCCAATTTTCATGATGATACAAGTATGGTAATTGTAACTCCATAACAACTTTCTTAAGTCTTTTATACTTATTTCTTTACTTTGGAGAACATAGAATAAATCAGACCAAGGAAGGATGTCAAAAGTGAGTTTTTATTTAAAAGAATTTTAGAGGGTTTGGGGCATGTGAAGAAAAATATTTTACATGCTATGTATAAAAATTCCTTTAAAAACATATATAATAAAAAACCATACATAAATATACACTTGGTAAAAATTAAGGGAATAGCCCAATCTATGGATGCCCTGACCATTATAACTAAAAGGAATAAAAAACAGCGAAAATTTTATATTCAAATTTAAAAACAAAAAACCCTTCTGAATATAAATATGATTTTTTTAGTATAATTAACCCAGTCAATGAATTCTCAAGGCATGGATTTATTCCCAGCAACATCTAACCCAGATCCCTCTTTCACCAAGTTATGTCGTTTCTTTCCAGGAACTAACGTAACAAATGAAAATCTAGCCAAGACTCAAATAGAAAACCATTTGATTTGAGTGCACACAATCATTATAGTATTGTTCATAATATTTACAGTTTGGATTTACATACCTAAGCAGATTCAGAAATTATTAACAACAAGGTAATAGGAATGGTAATTGGTAAATTCCCAAGACCCTAACTCCAAGTCATTTTAACCCCAAAATGCGGGAATGAACAACCAAGTGAAAAAATCTGCATAAAAATACCAGCAAAATCAAACTTTGGAAAAGAAAGGAGTATAAACCTGTTCTGGAGGGGCGTACTCGGACTGAAACTCGATCTCATTTCGAAGAATTCTTAAAATGTTAGATTCAAAGAGCGATTTGGGCGTTGCCTGGGCTCCATAACGTCTAGTTTGATGAAGACAAGTTGAAGTGACATTCAGTGAGTGGACGCAACCGGAGACCTCGTGTGTCCGACTTCTAATCGAAGGCAAAGAAGCGTCGAGCTTTCTTTGAGCGATTTGAAGAAGACGAGCCATTAAGAAAGCAGAGAGCTGGGAACGAAGGAGGGTTTCACTTGCATCTGCTGTTCAGCTGTTCCGTTTTCCCTTGCAGATGACTTGTAATAATGTAAAAGAACAAACGTCCCTCCTCCGCTAAAAAATATTATTTTTTAAAAAATTAAATATTAAAAAATATAAAAAATTTTTAATCTTTTGAGATATAATCATTACATTTTTTTTAAAATATTCCTATTGATAATAAATTTATATTTATTGTAAGTTGTTTAATAAGAATAAATGTAAAAAGATAAGATTAGTTGGAAAGTAAGTAACTACTTTATTAAAGGTGAGATTCAATTAAAAATGCTTTATATTTTTGAACGGAGGGAGTAGTCTTATTTTATCTAAATACAAAATTGGGAAAATACTTACAAATACATGGTTTAAATTAAAATCAAAATATATGAATTATTTATAGATTATTTATCATTCCATAACAAACTACTGTCATTAATAATAATATCAATGTATTAAAATTTATTTCTTTTAGTTTGATTATATAAAAGTATATTAAACATATAAAACTACATATTTAAGTCTTATTTACAAAAAAAAATCTTTTTTAAAAAATTAATAATGAATCATTTCATCTTTTTATATTTTTAACTCAATTAAAATTTGAAATCCAAATCTTAAACTTGAATTTGATGCAATTTGGTATTTATAATTTTAATTAGGTTAAAGTTCTTGAATATAAACTCAGTGTACTTAATCTTATAATTTTAGTTTAACCATTTAAAATATTCTCATTATATTTTAAAAATAAATTATAAATATTAAAATTATTTCTTGAAATTTAGAAACAAATATTTTTAAGAGAAAGTCACACAGAGATCCCATAAATGAATTCTAGTCACCAAAAATCTCACGAAATACGATAATAACTTTGAGATTCCATAGGCTTTAATTAAAAGTAAGTTTTGGAAGGCATTTACCAAAATGCTCTTGGTTATAAAATTTGAAAAACTCTTCCCTTCTTGGGTTTTCTGCTGTGGTGGGTTGAGTTTTCTGCCGTCAGCAATAGACACTAACATTGCTAACTCCACCAAGTCTTTCTTGTTGATTGTGGCGACAGTGCTAGATATGAATTCTTCGTCACTTCACAAACATCAATGATGGAACAGGGCTGATGGGAATTAAGAAATTTCAACTAGTTAGAGTCTTGACCAATGCACTTTTGATGATCACTCATCCCAAATCTATTGGAGATTAGTTTATTAGACGAAGAAATTGGGCCTATACACCAAATCTTTTTCAGCACTTTCTCGTAACCTTTTATGTACAGTTCCTCTAGCTCTTGTAAAGTATTAATTAAGATCCCATGTGTTGAGAGTTTGGCTTTTTTTAATTGATCCAAGAAAAAATAACAAGTAAAAACTTTGTTAAAATATTAATGTTAAATTAAAAACTTTAGTACTGACTAATAATAGAAGGAATACTGAAATTTAAAAACTTTAGTGTTGAAAAATCATAATTTGATACAAACATTCTTACAAGATTCTTATTAAACCAAAGGTCTTAGATCTTGATTCTTGAATCATTGCTTTATGTAATTGGGCCTTGGTGAGTTTGATTCTATGGGGCTAATCAAGCACCTCAAACGGGCTCTGACATGGAAACCAACCTCTCATAAACCTTGGACTAAGCAATCCTGTGAGAGCAAGCACAAGAGTGAATCAAAGAGATTCTGTGGAAGACAACTAAGGCTCTCGCTCCAGTCTTTCTAGGTTTCCCAATCCTCGATTTTTTTTTTCCAGGATTTTTTTTAAATGAGAGTATTTTGGTAAATGCACCCCCAAAACTTATTTGTAATTAAAGCCCATGGAACCTTAGAATTATATTTACATTTCTTGAAACTTTTTGATAATTAAAATCATCTATGAACCTTTGTGTGATTTTCCCTGTTTTAAATTGCTAAATTTAGTTGTAATCTTTGATGGTTCATCATTTTTTTTAATAAAAATGGGTTTGAGAAGTGTAATGACTAGAGAAATTTTATATTATGCCTATATTTTAGGCCAACTCTCAAATTGGTCTCTATAGTTTTAATTTTATTATAAGCTTCCTATGGTTATGGAGGGAATCTTCCTCTTACCCATCCTCTTATTCATGGAGGAAGATATGGAAGTTGTTGCAAGAGGTGGAGTATGCATGTGAATGATCATTATGAAATATATAAAGATGTTGAAGATTTCATTCATGCACTTCATGATTGCCTTGACATGAAAAGACTATGGATGGAACATCTTGATCAAGAGAGTAGCAGGACATTATATAATGTAGAGCCCAATTAGTGGATAAAATAGAAAATATGATTGTAGAAGCAGTACCATGATACTTCATAGAAATCATGCTTTTCCATAACTTGCCAGTCTCTTTGGAAAAGAAGGATTGAGAAAATATTTTAAGATAGGTCTACCTCAAATGTAACTATTAACGCACATGCCTTAACTATTGACAACACATTTTAAGGAATATAGGAGCAAGCTAGAAGGCATTGTGTGGAGGAAACAAATGGTCTTATCTTGTGCAGCACTTTGAGCCTGATAAAGGGGGATTGGTTTGATCTTAATGTGAATGATGCCTATTCTACAAGCCAAGATCTTGTGAGTTACAAAGGTTTGATTAGTGATTCTAAAAGTCAGTTTAAAGCTAGTTTTATGTTCAAAATGACTAATGGTGACTTGCTATATGTTGAACGTCGGGCGTGTTCGTAAAGTTTTAAAATGATATGGAGGTTTAGCTACAAAAAACTTGTCCTTAAATATGATTTGTGTGAAGTTGTTCAAATATTAAAGGATGAGACTCCTCCAAACCACTTGATGAATGATGTTGTCATTGAAATTGGAGTGCTCCTAGCTCAAAACTGTAGAGTTGATGCTCAAAGAATTTCAAGAGATACCAACAATGCTGTTTATTTGCTCACTAAACAAACCCTTTAGCGTGTTAATGGGTTTTAACCTATTTTCTCTCCCCACTTAGACAATTTTCAATTTGCAACAGGGCATATATAATGTTTTCAAGGGACTTGGGATATGTTGGCCAAAAAGATAAAAAGATGTGCGGTTTTTTATAATTATGCATTGATTATTTTAATAATCACAGAGAACAATCATGGTTATAACTCTTTTTAGAATATCATCAATTCTATAAATTTTATTTTATATAGAAATTAGATTGTGAACTTTTACTTTTTGTATAAGAATGATAATAAGATGATTGACTATCTTACTAAGTTAATTCATAGATTATTCCGTGATTTCAATGCTTTTGATACCCCACTTATTAGCTGATTATGAGTGAATGGTTTATTTTTATTTTTGTTTTTGTCATTTGGTTTCACATTCCTATGTTCATATTAAGGAAAAAAAATGTTATTTAGTTTGGTTTTCTATTCCCTGGTCATAAAAAAAAAGAGAAAATATTATAACTATATAATAACTATATAAACTGTAAAAGAGGTTCAACAACAGGCCAAAAAAAAAAACAGCAACAAAATTACAATTCTAAATAAATCTTAGAATCTGAAAATAAAAGAGCACGTAAAGAGGACGAAGGTCATAAATAAGATCCCAACACCATTAATCGATTTTCTTGCTGATCGAAGCCTTCTTTAATCCCGTCACCAATTGCAGTGGCTTCTCTCTTACCCATCTCCTGTGAAGGTAGAGCTTTTAATAAAAATATTTTCAGACAAAATTGTTTTTATAATAATATTTAATCCTCAAATTATCCAAAAACCTCTTCTCCTTTTATCCGTCTCTATTTAGAAGTAGGCTTCTCTCCATTTCTTTCCCTCTCCATTTCCTCTCCACTTCCCATATCAACCATTGGATTTATTTTTTAATGGTTCAGATTTGATGTTTCATAAAATTATTATTAAAATGTAAAATTTTATAAAAAATAAATATAATAATAATTTTATGAAACATCAAATCTGAACCATTGAAAAATAGATCCAATGGTTGATATGGGAAGTGGAGAGAAAATGGAGAGGGAAGGAAATGGAGAAAAGCCAACTCCCTCTATTTAAGCCAAACAAGATTTCTTTCTCCCTTCCCCTAATCTCTAGGAACTAATATATTTAATTGATTTACTTATAAAAATTTAAATAAAATAAAATAAATTATAAAGACTTAATTTAAAAATAAAGAAACATAGTTTTTAGGTTAGTTTTTTCTAATAAATATTTGAAAATTTTTTTCTTTATTTGCGGCAAAATATTCAAAAAAAAAAAAAAATCTGGTTTAAGCACCTTTCCAAACTAGGCCAGTTCGTCGTCATCGGGCTCACTTGGGCGGGAATCAGCAGCCAGAGCCAGAAGGAGGACACCATAGAAGAGCCATTGACACAGTGAGAGGCAGCCGATCCAATGGCTGTTGACACAAATCTGGCGGTTTTGTTCGACAATTTGAAGGTTGAAGATCCATTGATTCCCCCGAAGACCTGGGAATCTATCCCTTCTGAAAGTGGCCTTCACTCTCATTCCGATGCTTCAACTTCCTCTTCAAACCAACCTTTCTATGACCTCTCCACTGTCTCTGTAAGTTTATACTCCATCGTCTCGCTTGATTGAATTTGCGACTGCTTTGGGGTTTTCTTTTCTCGGAAGTAATCATTTTGAGGGTTATTGGGCCTGGAAAGTGTGAGAAATGTAGTCTAGCATGCTACATTTTTTCCCCGATCCCAGCAGCTTGCGTAAGTACCTGCGTCATGTACATCTGTGGGCATCTTGACACAGTTAAGAGACATGCTGGCTACCTAACTCCCTAAATTTTTGATAGTCAGATGACAAGAGTGTTGGGAACTAGGTTTGCGTCGCTCGGTTCACATTGCACTTTCAAAATTTTTAGCTGGATTCATTTCTTGAATTTTGGTAAAATCCCCTGTTGTTGGATAAGCACATAAATAACTCGGCTTACTGAATTTTAGGAAGATTGATGTTTAGGGTGACTCTACTTTATTCACTTGCACGTGGGATTGTATATATTTCCTTCCACGTGGCATGCTATTTGAATTTTGAGATGTAAAATCT